GTACTTACTTATATCTAGGGTTTGGAAAAAGTGATTCCATTTTGATTCTGGTAACTTTCACATAGTTTCAGTTAATATCTTGATCCTGTGACCTTTTACCAGGCCAGGGACGAAGGACAAAAACGGGCCAACTGTCTATAACATTGGGACCCATAGCCATTGCTAACAGGGTGTTAGAACCCCAAGTAGCAAGCGCCGAATGAAAGAGCCTGAATGCAGAGAGTCTAAAGATGGAGGAGGTCTTGATTCACGTACTTCACTCTGGCTTTCTGGGGCTCTTGTGGTGCAGGAGCCATCTATGAGTGCTCATCCACTTTGCTTCAGGACATGGTGACCCTGTGGCCCAGGGATGCATGAGGGACCCTGCATAGTTGGAGGTCTAATGGAATCTCATTTGTCAAAGCAAACTGCTGAATTTGATGCCTTAGAAGCTGGAGAGCGCAGCTATGCATATGTAAGAACCCAGTCTCCGTGGGGTAGGACATTAAGCCCAGAGGAAGATCTGCGTGTCTCATCTGAGTAATGAGCCATGAAATTGACATTATAAGTTTTAATTATTATTAATGCCTTGCAGGGTAGCTGGTGTTAATTATTCTGTAGGCTTCCCAGATATATTTCTTCCCCTTTCCTTTTATTTCTTTTTCTTTAATGCCTTAATGGTGGCTTCCTGGTAGTGTTTGAACTCAATTCCTCCTAAGGGGAATACCCTCCCTGTGAGAGAAGTTCTCTGGAAAGGAGGCAAATGGCTGTGGCTGGAACACAGGCAGCAGGAACCTGGGAGTTGGATGGGTTGCCACAGTGAGATTTGCAGGAGTCTCATTCCTGCTCCCCCTTCCCAGTAATACTCACTTTCCTCTAGGACCAGCCATGAACTAATTAGTTAACCTTACAATGGGCTTTAAAGATCAAAGACTGTAGGAAGTGCCTTGAGTCACATTTTTGAGCATCTTTTAACAGGGAGTGCTGGTTTCTGGCTCTTCTGCTCCTGCCAAACTTCCTGTCAACATCATTTCTGACTCTGTGTTTCTGTTTCTGTCTCTGTCTGTCTCTGTCTCTCTGTCTGTCTTTCTCTCTCTCTCTCTCTCTCTCTCTCTCTCTCTCTCTCTCCGTGTGTGTGTGTGTGTGTGTGTGTGTGTGTGTGTGTGTGTGTCTGTTACTTCTATAGATTGTGTTCTATTAGATCCTCATGACAGTCAGGGGTACAGGAGTGAGCGCTGACCTTCCCTGCCCCCTGCCTTTCCCTATTTCTTTTTCCTTACCTATCAGCTGCAGCAGAGACACAGGCCTGACTCAGGATCACCCTGAGTTCCTTTGAACTAACAGCACAAAGATGGTGAATTGTCTCTCAGGCTTCTCTTGGGTCCTGGTTGTTTGGGTGGCTATAGCACAGCTCTGTTAATGCGGCAGACAGGAAGCTTCCAGGCATAGGAGCCCAGTGCCAATGCTGTGGATCTGGGAGGGGAAAGAGGTGGTGTGGAGCTGTGTCGGCAGAGCCCAGAAATTTCACAGGTTGTGTATCCTCTTTGGGAGTTGTCATGTGTAGTCAGAGGTTGTTCATTTGTTCATTCATGGCCACTCTGACTCTAAATAATCACATAGAAACTATATTATATGTAATACTGTTTGGCCAATAACTTAAGTGTATTTCTGGCTAACTTATATATCTTAAATGAACCCATTTCTATTAATCTGTATATTGCCACATAGCTATTTGTGGCTTACTTGCAAGATTCCAGCGCATCTGTCTCTGGCAGAGGCTACAAGGCTTCTCCCTGACTCCACCTACTCTCTCTATATATCTCTTTCAGCCTGGCTTTACTCTGTTAAGCCATTGGCTGAAAGTACCTTCTTTTTTAACCAATGGCAATAAATCATCTTCACAGCATACATCACCTCCCACATCAGTCATGTTACCCCTGATGGCTAGGAAAGTATGCATTTGCTCCTGTGCCATGGAATTTGGATCCCTTGGCACAGTAAAAAGCCACTGGAATTTGCAGGGTAGACTCTGATTTACACCTGTGCAGCCAGCATAGTAGAGTACATTGAGAAAAGAGGAGAGGTAGGTAGGGGGAAGATCCAAGAGTCTAGCAGTAGATTAGCAAGCTTTAAGGAAGAAGACCGTGTTCGGGGAAGGATGGGCTAACTGTGCCCATCTAACTGTGATGGCGTTTGCATGATAAGGATGAGGACTATAGGAAGTAGAGCTAAAGGGACAGAGAGAGCTTTGTGGGACGTCTAGAATCTGCATTCCAAAAAAGTAGCTACACTGATATGAAATCTTCTGGTCGTCATGGGCGTGGAAGTATGCTTTGGCCTGTTAGGGAAGTACGGGTAGATTTGAGAGTTTGAGACACTGAGGCAAGTAGAATTTGGCCTGTAACCATGATGATGAGTAGCCTGTGGCCCACATATGTGTGGGACTGTCAGCCATGTAGAGAATTGATAAAAACCAGAGTCCTCTGAGGCTCAGGGTGGATGGATGCCTTTCAGGACCAGGAAGTAGGTAACTTGGGGGCCCCTGGCCTGGGTAGGATTCTGCAGTCCAGTCAAACTGATGCCTAGGAGTTTCCCTGACACTGTATCCCCACCCTCCCAGCTAAACTGGGATCCAGTGTCATGGTTGCCAATAGTGAAGGTGGGACTTGAAATGGTCCCTGTGTTGGCCTGTCTAGAAAAAGCCAAGTCCTTTCTAAGCAGAGGCAGCTAGGGGAGGACTCCATGTTCACTGGCATGAGATCTTTTTTTTTTTTTTAATATATTAAGAATTTCTGCCTCCTCCCCGCAACCGCTTCCCATTTCCCTCCCCCTCCCCCGATCAAGTCCCCCTCCCTCATCTGCTCGAAGAGCAATCAGGGTTCCCTGACCTGTGGGAAGCCCAAGGTCCAAATCAGGAGCAGAAGGAGATGGAGCACGAGCAAGGAACTCAGGACCACGAGGGGTGCACCCACACACTGAGACAATGGGGATGTTCTATCGGGAACTCACCAAGGCCAGCTGGCCTAGGTCTGAAAAAGCATGGGATAAATCTGGAGTGAGATCTTTGAAGGAGACAGCAATGATGTAGGTTTAGCATGGTCTATACTACTCACGCTATGGTCAGTGGTAGTAGATGCTTCCAAACAGTCACCAAAGCCATGCATGTCTCTAAGATTACTGCTTCAAGCACACACACATCTTCAAGAGATGTGTCTAGCAAAGGGAGTGCACACAATGCCAGTCCATGTCAAGAGATGATCCTTTGGGTACCTAGTAGAGGTGCTTTGTGAACAGAATGTGTTATTTTCTTACTGCCTCTTAAACCCATTTTCTGAGTTAAATTCCAAGTGTGGCCATATAGTCAATAGTGAAAATATTTCTGCCATGGCATTCCCGTCATTATTTGACTTTTAATGTGGCAGCAAGCTGAGTTGAAAAGGGAGAAACATCATCGTTTTGTAAACTAGCTAGCGGGGTGGAGATGGGTTTCCCAACCTACTGACATCCTGAGCTTGGTAAATTCGTGGTTATTGGGGAATGTGCTATGAATTGGGGGCTCTGCTTCTTAGATGCCACTCGTACCCCTCCTCAGTGTGACAACCAAAAATCTTGAGACAAATTGTTCCTCATGGAAAAGCCATGGGCCAGGGACTGGCTGGCCATTATATGGCCCTGAGGTTTTTCTGATGGCCCACAGCCAGCTACCTCTTTAGTCTTTCCTAAGCAAAGTATTGGATTGCAAATTGCCTTTCGCCTGTGCTCTCTAAAGTCTGGGCCTGGTACAGTCTATTGTACTTAGACCACAAAGCCATCCAGAATGAGTTCTGTAATGAAAAGTTCTCTGGTGTTACTGTTTAATTGGCTAGTGGGGGTTGTTTGTCAATCTGCCAGCAGGTTTCTCTTAAATGCTGTCATCAGACATCTCCAAGACATAAATGTAGAGTGATTGATTTGCAATGTGCTATTAAACCCTCTGCAAAGACTTTTTGATGTCCTGTGGCTTTGAGTTTTGTACAGCTATTGATTGATTCGAATACTACAGAACCCTTGGCTCAGGCAGCCCTTGTGAGAAAAATGCCACTTCTCGTAGGGAATTGCTGGACATTGACTCGGGGACAATGACAAGGCTTTCCTCGGGCACAAAATGGATCACTGAACAAGTGTGGACCACCAGGAAAGAAAAGCAAGAGACACTTAGGTAGCTGGCCAGAATTGACCAATGAGGGCCAGTTAGGAAAGTATAAGGAGCAGGACAGTAAAACCTGATCGATTTAGGACTGAGAAAATCCTGGCTGCCATGAGAGGGGAGGCAAAGATTTTGTTTGGGCTGTAACTGTGGCTGCTGTCTGAGTCCGCAGTAGCAAATGATATTCAAATAAGTTCACAGACATTGACAGGGTGATAGAACACCTCCTGACTGCACAAGACCAGGCTGAGATATTCTTGGAGGGGTCCTGTCCTCTGGACCCGATTGTTGTGTGAAGGGAAAGCTTGCTTGGCATGGGGAGTGGGGAGGTATGTGACTTGGGACTAGAGGTGGAGTGGCCTCTGCATTCCTCCACCAGGAATCTCTCATCTGGGCTGGGTGAGTATGTGCCACTGGTCCGTGGAGAGGCAGGCACACACAGTGAGTGAGATATTGGCTGCCCAGCTTGCTCTGAACTAGTTGTCTCCTTTTGTGCCTATATCCTTATCTTTGACAGATAAAAATTCATTACTTCCTTTAGAGCCTTTTCCGTGCAGTGCAGTGCAGTGCAGTGGTCTCTATAGAAAGTTGGACTGTACTTGGTCCTCGTGTTTAGGGTTGAGAACTTTGCTATTATATGGACTATCTTGCTTTTGTGAGGTCAGAGAACTTATGTGTTCCCGTGTTAGACTGTTCCTTTAGGATGGTTTCTGGTCTGCGAATGTTGTTTATATATAAGACATACAATGACCATTGAACCCATACTTCCAAGGTCAAATTTCTCAGGTGTTAGGGAGAGCCATTCCAAGTAACCACCTGTTGTTTTCTGTTTCAGAATCTATCCCAGCTTCCCTATGGCAAGGCCCTCTACAGCTATGAGGGGAAAGAACCTGGTGACCTCAAGTTCAACAAAGGGGACATCATCATCCTGCGGCGTAAGGTGGATGAGAACTGGTACCACGGGGAGCTGCAGGGGACTCATGGCTTCCTCCCAGCCAGCTACATCCAGTGTGTCAGGCCCTTGCCACAGGCTCTGCCCCAGGGCAAAGCCCTGTATGATTTTGAGATGAAGGACAGAGACCAAGACAAAGATTGTCTGACCTTTACTAAGGTAAGGTGAGCCCCATGGTTGGCCTATGTCTACTGGTGTCTTTTGAACCAAGAGTCGGCGTTTAGGTTTAGAGCCTGACCTCTCTGCTAGGCCTTGAGCAAATGACCACCCTCCCTCCCTGTGCCTCCGTGGGAGTGTGCTTCATGGACTTGATTGTTTTGTTGTTGATTTTGTTTGTGTGAATGAGAACTCCTAAGAAGAAGCCGTGTCTGCAGAGTGTGGAGAGACTGGATTGTTGCAGGTCCAGAGACAATTACCTTTTCTTAGGCTGGCATTATCCCCGCCCCCAAAGTCATTTTTGACCGCTCGGTGTCAGATCTAGCCTCCTGTGACTGACAGATGGACTCCTTTTTGAATCTATTAACTTAGCAGACTGCTGGCTTCCACCAGCCCAAAGGCTAAAAATGTCACCACATCGATCTTAGGGCTACAGACAAGTCCCCTCCCCCATCTTGGTGTAACCACCTCCATGATGCACCCGCCATTGGTATTCTAAACTTGCCTTGATTATGACTTTCTTTGTTCTGTAAAGCTATATAACTTCATGAAATGACTTTTGTAGCACACATTCTAATTGTTCTTAATAAAAACAAACCAGAGTCAGATCTTTAGGGGGTGAAAGCTGAGAGATCAGAGAAACAGAGTAGTCAGTCACTAGAGAGACCTTTGACCTCTACTGATGCTCAGACCAAACGGGCGATGCTGTCCTCAGACTGCGTCCTCTGACTGCCTCCTCTGACTGACTGCTTCACACTGCATTTCCAGGCTGCTTGCTCAGACTGCAGCTATCTCCACCAAACCTCAGACTGCGCTGAGCTCTTACCTCCTCCTGCCTTATCTTCCTCTCTCCACCCAGTCATATCCCTCCTATCTCCACCTCCCTAGTGCTGGCATTAAAGGCATAGACTCCCAAATACTGGAATTAAAGGTATGAGTCACCACCACCTGGCCTCTAGTGTCTTAGCTCTACACTCTGATCTTCAGGCAAGATTTATTTGTTAAAACACAAACAAAATATCACTACAGACTTCCCATGATAGAAAATGGCTTGGGGGTTCCCCAGGTTCTAGTCATTCAGAATGTTGCAGAATAAACCATATCTCATTCTCTTCAAGGCAAGAGCTGTGTTGTTTGCATTGACATTTGTTTCGTGTTGATTCTCACTGGGGAATGGTATGAGATGACACAGCCCACTAATGCATAATTCTGGCCAGCACTGGTACTGACTCTTGAGATAGGCGGGCTGTGAGCCTCAGTAGCAGTCATCATTTTAAGGTTTTAAATATTTAATATATAAAGAGGAGTTGAGTTTTAAGTATTGAATACACACACACACACACACACACACACACACACACACACACGGGAGTTGTGTTTTCCCAGGACTCAAGGGATCATTGTAGAACTATTGCAGACCGACCCTCAGTTCATCCAATAAAGTTGTCCTATCTGGGCCCAAAGCCAATATCACATCTCTCCTGTAGGGCAAAAGCTGAATCAACTAGGCATGGAGAATCTCTTTTATTATTATTACTATAGATAATAATAATTTTATGAGTATAATATATTGCATTCATGTATGTCTGTGTGCCATGTACCTGCATGATGCCCACAGAGGCCAGAAGAGGGGTCCATGGATTTGGAGTGAGTTACAGATAGTTATGAGCTGCCATGTGGTTGCTGGGAATTGAACCCAGGGCCTTTGGAAGAGCAGCCAGTGCTGTTAACCACTGAGCCGTCTCTCCAGCTTGGCATGGAGAATCTTTTGAAGCACCTAGCCTGAGGACCTGGTCACTAAGCAAACATTTACTGTGGAGTCAGTGAAACGCTGAGTCAGGTTTGTGGTCGTTCTGGAGTTCCTGTGATTACTCATTGGTGCCAGGTAGCAGACTAGCTCTTGTTCTTGTTGTTACATTTGGAGATTGCCAGGGAAGCAGGTGGAGCCTTGTGTCATTTCCTCTGGGGTCCTCTCTCCTAGCTCCTTCCTCCTTCCTTTCCTTCTCCCACCTTCTCCCCGCAAGGCTGTAAACAACAGAACTGGGATTCTCAGTATCTGGTTTGAAGAAACAGTGCCTGGAGATTGCCACTCTTCTCCACGCCCGCCCACCCCCTCTTCATCTGCCGGTACAGAGCTTGGCTGCGGCGCTGCAGCTCTCCACCAGCTTCGCGACTACCTTGCACACCATTTTCTGAGAAAAGTTGATGGTCCCTGTGCCAGACTGCTGTTTAGGTCTCATTCTGTTGTTCGCCTGACAGTGACTAATCTAGTTTCCGTTCTGGGAACCAATGCTTTCTTTCTCCCTTTCATCAGGGCGTTGAGATGCTAATTCCTTTCCTTAGCTCTCTTAGCTCCTGGGGAAGCCGGCCCTGGTCTCCTTCACTGGCTCCCTCTCTTTTCCTTTTCTCAGTCTGAAGCCTCTGGAGCCTTCCCAGGGCACCTGGCAGGCTTCTCAGCTTTGGAGAGCCTACCCTGAGCAACTCCACTCCAGTGTGGGTGCCCATGCTCTCCGCGCCGGCACTTGTAGCTTCTTACATCCTTGCTGAGACAACAGGCTCTAAATGACTTTTAGCTCTATTGGCAGCAACAGCAGAATCAATAGAGTCAGAGACTCTCCTTGTGGGCACACAGGGAGCTCCTCAGGACAGCTCACTCAGTAAGTGTAAAGCCCAGGGTGTTCCCTGGCAGGCCAGCTTCTCCCTGTATGATGGCAGACTCTCTTAACTTCCGTTTCCATTTCGGGTGCCTCTGCCTGTAGCACTCACTGCCAGTAAAGACCAGATTCCCTGGACGAGAGCAAGTGGATTGGATATTTGTCTATTTATTCCACACAAAAAGTACACACTATCCTGTGTTCAGGGACAGAGGTCTGGCTCCTCCTGGAACCTGGGCTTGGGAAACAGGCACAGAGTAAGTCTAGAGAAATGAGCGTAGCCAAAGACTGCCTCAAGGGAAGCGGCATGGTGTCGCCCTGTGAGGAAGAAGATGAGACAAGGCATGAAGACTCCAGTGTAGTCAATGACAGAACTATTCCGTGTTTCCAGAGAAAGTGTACGTTAGTCCTCGAGGGGCAAATTAGAGCCCAGTTGGCCTTGGATTCATTCTGTGACCGGCATGTGTAGGATGCGTGGCTGTTGCCCTCACTATGTCCCTGATGTAGGTTTGGTATTTGAGGCTCCTTAGAGGGAGACCTGGACCAGCTGTGACAGGGTCCAGGGCTCTGCTGTCACTGAGGGTAGCAGCTGTTGCCATGGCATTCTGCTGGAAGTATCATATTGCACCATCTTTGCACAAAGGACTTTCTTTTCTTGAATCCTGTGGGTTCCTATAAATGGGAGGCCTCTGAGTATGATTCCCAAAGCACTGTGACTCCTACCATATCATACCCATATCATCAACACCCCCGCCCTCTCCTCCAAGGAGCAAAGTTCCACGTTTTTGTTTTTTTGTTTTTGTTTTTGTATGCTCCTCTCACTTCTCACCCTCTCCACATCTGGGTCCCAGAGGACACGAGCATCTTCTTGGAGCTCTCTGCTGGGTTCCATGCTTCCTGGCAGGACTTGGACAATGTCTGCAGTGCCACTGAGATACAGTCCCACAGAGTCGGGACTGATAGTTGGACCTGAAGCTGAGCTTCTGGGAACCAGCAAGTTAGTGTTATTCTAAAGCCGTGTGTCCAGTTAGTTCTCAGGCCCCTAGACACCTGGTCTCTCCCATAAGCCCAGCCTTTGGACTAAGGGAACACAAGAGTGGCGCCCCCCACGAAGCACCAGAGCCTCTGGCAGGTTCAGCATGCCATCTTTCTTGCCTTCAGTCTTTGTATTTGCATATTCCCAGCTTTGGGGAAACAAAGCTACAGGAAACTGATAAAAAAAAACAAAAAACAAAAAAACCACACACACACACACACACACAAAAAAAAAAAAAACGTTTTCTAAAGCTCTATTACCAAAGGTCATTATTCTCTTTTTCGAGCAGATTGGTTTTAGAATGACTTGATGCTGTTTTAATACTACCCATTCAAAAGATAATTCTGCAGGTAAAAATGAGGCTTTGATCCAACCGCCTTGTAACTTTTCAAATACCACTCCAGTGGTGTGCTTTAAAAGGAAGCATTATAGTTTGGGTATCAAATGCCCTCCACAGTCTTGTGTTTGAATCCTTGGTCCCAAGTGGTGATGCTATCTGGGGAAGATGTCAGCCATTTATCGGGTGAGGCCCAGATGGAGGAAGTAGGTTGTTGGGAAAAGGGCTTTTGACAGAAGGTTGTCTCAGTTTACAAATGGCACCCCAGGTTGGGAGCCATATGAAGCACAATTAATAAAAACCCAGAGACTGAAATTGAGGTTCAACCTGAAGGTCTAAAAAGTAAAACATTGAGCCACTGGCTCTTACCTCTACCTCAGTCCAAAGTGGTGATCCTGCCTCCAGGAATCTCAGAATGAGCCTGAGCCTGAGAGCTGTCTCCTCCCATTTTATTATCCTCTCTAGTTCTGGGATTAAAGGCGTGCACCAGTACTGCCTCGTTTCTATGGCAAGCTAGTGTGGCTTCTGGGATTAAAGGTGTGTGTCATTGCTGCCTGGTCTGTAAGGCTGACCAGTGTGGCTGTTTTACTCTTCTGATCCTCAGGCAAGCTTTATTTATTAAAATACAAATGAAATGCCACTACATCTTTGTTCTTTAGAGGACTGAGATGAGGCACAGAGGGGCTAGAAATACGATGGGCGTTGCAGTATTTCGGGAGTCATATCCAGATGTCTCCCATGGGATTCAAGAATTGAAAGTCCTTGTGCAAAGATGCTGTAGTATCCTAAGTCAGAGACACCGAAAGCCATGAGCACCAGTCAGCTGAGGTGCACAGTAGCGGGAGGGGTTACAGCTCTCAAGACAGAGGTGTGCTTTGGGTGTGAGAGGGTGCTGAGTTTCATTAGGGTTTTGACAGCTTGCTACCATTCTCTTACTCCTATTCAATTATAAAACTCAGAAAATGCTTCTTGAGCT